TCAACGAAAATGCTGTTCACCGAGTGGTTTTGCCTTTTAAAGATCAAAAGTCAGCTGACGCAGTGAAAAGGCAATTATCAGATCTAAGCAACAAAATCGATCACACCCTTCATCCCGTGTTCAAGAGTCGCAAAATCTGTGAAGATCTCAGAGTACGTGAGCCTAAACCTCCTATAGTTAGCCAACAATGCGTTGTATATAATTATAAATGTGATCTGTGTGATGCAGAGTACGTCGGGTACACCAGCCGGCATTTACATCAACGTATTAATGAGCACCGTAATTCGGCCATCGGCAAACATCTAAAGAACGACCACGGCCTACAAACCATCGGCGACCTGACCAAGCATTTCAACGTACTTAAAAAGTGCACCGGGAAACTGGACTGTTTAGTTCATGAAATGCTTTTCATAAAGAAGATGAAGCCCTCTTTGAACAAACAATCGGATTCCATACGCGCGAAACTATTTATTTAATAGTTTACATTTATGAACTCAACACGCGCAATTATTTATTTAAATATTTTAAATATTTTAAACTTTTTACGTTTGCCACCTTCGTACGGTATAAATTAACTATTCATTTTTATTCTCTTCTCACTTGAGAATGATGACATGGAGTCATCGAAACGTTGTGTGTTTTTCTCACTAGTGTTTATTCTTAAATGTCTAACAAAATCTAATGTCATTCGAATATCTTAAGAATACTAGCATATATCACTTGCTATTTGAGCATGAAGTTTTGAAGATTAAGTCAAGATTTCTCAAATTCACTTTATAATGGACTTAGAACACAGCTAGGATTTCTTTCTTGTCGTTTTCTCACCTTTATTGTGCTCTTACAGTCCACCCCCAGCAACTCAGACTTAGTCAAACCAGCTGCAACAACTAAAAAGATACGAGCCAAGAGAAAGCTGAACTTTTCAGCCTCAGATTACAGAAGCAAGAAAAAGTTCCGCCTGAAAAGTGACATCATAATACCTGCCAACCCTCCTCAACTTAAAAAAGATTGTACTTCAACTTCAAGCGATAAGGAGACACCTAATCTTAAGGAGGTGAATTGAAGATAGAGATCTGAACGTCAATGTATAATCTGAGCAACTGTGCATCTACCCCTCCGTTAAGCCCAATAGTAACCCCAACTTGTTGTCAAAAATATCTTCAAATAGTCTTTGAGGTTTAAATTGTGAAATTGATACTTTGTTGAATGTTAAAACAAATTAGGAATTTAAAAGGACACCAAGAAAATAATTATAGAGAAAAATCAAGCACAGACTAATAAAAAATCAGAAAATGGAACAAAAAATTTTTTTAGCTATCTCTATAAGTCTGTTCTAAGCCTCTCCCCACCAAGATCTCAATAGTAACTCTTCCTTTTGTTTATGATGCAATTCTTATGATGTCAGTAAGGCAAATTTGGTATCACATCACCTAATAACCTCGCAATTGACATTTTTCTTTATCCTCATTGCTTGTCTGCTTGATATTGTGTTGATATTGTCTGGAGAAATTCTGTCTTGGTCACTCAATAAGAGTTGATGACAGGTTAAAATTATAATAGCTTTTCCACTTTTCCGATTTAGAGTGATAGCATGTTGGAAACAAAGTAATTGTAAACTGATTATTTGCCTGATATATCTGCATACAAGCTGTATTTAAGGTCTCAGTTAGATTATTAGTTTGAGAAGTATTTGATATCTCGTAGGTAGAACCAATCAAATATCTCATTGGCCAGTTGACCTGGGGCAGATTGAAAGGATTTGACTGGTGGCCTGGGCGTGTCATTTCTCATATTGAAGCACAAAAGTCTCCGGCTGTGGAGGGTTCTTATTGGATCAAGTGGTTTGGAGATAGCAAACTATCAATGGTTTGTGGGAGTATTTGTAGTGTCAGCTCCAACTCTAATGCCAAACTACTGACATCAACCAATCATAATGAAGGGTTAACAATTGCAAGGAATCTCAAACTGCTAAATATTTTTGATTGGTTGGTTTAGAGAGGGGTGGGGGACTGCTATTAATAGATTATAAGAGTATTAATTAATAGACATACAGCAAATCCAAATACAAAGTTAACTCAGTTTTTTTTGTCCAACACTTACTTAGTGGTTGGGCCCCACCTTGTTTAATGTGTGTGGGGACAGATCTATGTGTTCTCTTGGTATAATGAAGAGATTTGGGATATAGGCTAAGGCAGAGAGAATTGGGATATAGGCCATGGCAAATGCTAGCAGGAATGCACTATCAGTCAGTGAACTCACAAAGAGCCCATGGGATACAAATTGACTGATCATGTGCAGGGCTTGACACTAACAGTAGCCCACTAGCCACAGACTTGTAGAAATTCAGTTTTGGCTAGTGGTTTTTTATTTCCACTGGCCAGTTTGGCTAGCAAACAAACTGAAATTGTTGTAACATCTAAGTTTTCAGTAGCCACTTGGCTAGTAAGTTGAAAAGTTTGTGTCGAGCCCTGATGTGGATTCTACCATACATTATTTATGGTAACAACTATCCACTGACACGGTGGTGAGTGAGTGTTTTGGTATGTACTAAACAGTGAGATAATATTGCACAGAAAGATGATTTTTACTCATTTATTCCAGTAATATTTTCTGGCAAAAATATGCTCTCACTGCTTGGAGGTGAATAGTAGCAAAAGATACTCAGAGTTTAAGTAGTCCAACAAACTGCACCTTCAGTGCTATTCAGTCACTGTTTTAGTTCAGTCACTGTTTTAGTTCACATGTATATACCAATTATGCATTTTTCCTTGAAAAGAAAACTACTTTAGTTGATCTCTCTTCTCACTTTGAAGTCCCATAAGCAACTTACCAGAGGTGTATTTTACAGCTTCCTGTTGTATGTTTACGGCCACTTTCCGAGTTCAAAGAAAGTTTTCACCTTTCAAGGATGAGAGGTCTCTATAAGAAAGCCATCATTGACAGCTTAGAGGTAACTATTAGTACTTTTTGTTAATGCTTTTCATTTTCATTATTCACCTTCTGTGCTGTGTCCCGCTCTATACATCAGTCAGTCAGTCAGTCAGTCAGTCAGTCAGTCAGTCAATAGACTGTCTGTCCATTCCTCAGTTATTGTATGGTCTGCCTATCTATATGTCAGTTAGTCAGTAAGTCAGTGGACTGTTGGCTCATATGTTAGTCAGTCAGTCCATCTGCTGATATGTCAGTCAGTAAGTCAGTGGTCTGTTTGCCACCAGATAGTCAGTCAGTCAGTCTGTCCATATTTCAGGTGATCAATAAGTGAGTGAACTGTGGGTCTAACTGTTAGTCAGTCTGTCTGTCTGTCAATATGTCAGTCTGTCTGTGGAGTTAATGTCATTCACTCCAGTTAGTCTGTCAGGTATTAAGATAGCCATTAAGTATCCTCCCCAAGAATTCCAAAAAATATATATAATATTAATAGTCATTATATGAAATCTCATTAAAGAGCTGAACCTCTTGGAAAACCCTTTTTGGGTTTTTGGGAAAATCCTTAATGTAGAATCAGTATATAAATTCTGAACAATCTTTTCTAAACTTGCCTACATAACATTATATTTCTTCACCAGGTAGCAGCAAAAAGATGTGGTAAAGTGTTTTCTAAGAGCAACAAACAACAGTCAAAGAAAGGGAAGAGAGGAGGAAAGAAAACTGAACCAAATGCTGTGATGGAGAAAGAGGATGAACAACTTAGTGATAAAGAGAAAATAGAAATAATGGTGCAGTGGGCAATAAATGGATTTGAACCAAGTGGTCCAGATGGATTTGCACCAAGTGAAGGTAAATCAGACAGGGTTGAACTACCCATGACTGTTCTTACATGATGGGACATTACCTTCTCTGATGTCAGCTGTCATATTTCTTATCACAGTTATTGACCATGAAAAGTATGAAAAGTCTTTTTCTTTGGAAGTGAGGCTGCTAACTGATTAAGGGCACTGGAGAGGCTGTATTTAAAATCTAATGGCAATCAATAAGCAAGAATCGCTCACTGAACACATGATCTTGACTAATAAGTTATCATCCTACTAGCTAGGGCCTAAACATTTTGTGTTTAATTTGCCGTATCCATCTCAATTTTTTAGGGCAATGACATGATTCTTTAAAATCACAAAATTGATAGCTAGCCCCTTACACCAATTTTTTTTTTAACTTAACTGCGCTGAATGAAGCACTGATTCTCAATAAATATCAAATCACCTTTTAGCCAAAAATTAAGCCCTTTTTTATGCACAAGTTATTGGGCAGAAAATTATTCTTTGATTTATTCCTCAATCAGATGATTGTCTCTAAGTTTTGGTTTGTATAGATACTCAAGACAAAGGAGGAGTAATTGTGTGATTTTTCTGAGACAGGTAGTATTCCAGTCATAATCTGAATGGTGTTGACTATGCCGCGCCTCAGAGGCATAGTTTGTATACAGTCAGTCTTGTCTTGGCATATTAGTCAACATTGGGTCAACAGTGGGTAAACAATGTCACAATTAAAGATGAAAAATGGTTTGACGATCTTTGTTTCAAAATTTCTCACGTAAGATTTTATACCGTCTGTACATAAAAATAGTCTCTTTCAACTCCTAGAGGATATGGTGGATATTCCAGCACCAGTTCCTCAAATGGATCTAACATCAGAGGAAATGACTGCTGATCAAAAGGCACGCTTTGGTAAACCAATCAATGAACCAAACCTGGCAGAAGATATCAAAGGTAAAGATTTTTCTTTCCCAAGTACAGTCTGTAATTCAGTCAAGAGGAGAACTTGATCGTAATCGATGGGCTAGTCCATTTTACAGGTGGAACTGACCATGTGGTCCCATTCAAATAAACTGCAAATACATAATAAGAAGTATAATTATTGTGCGATTTCTTGCAGGCCTCAGTTCTTCACAAACATGCAACTTACTTTATCTCTTTCCTAAGGTTTTACTTTTTTCTTGACAATGAGTTTAAAATTAAAGATGTTGCACAGCACCAAGTGTGGCTGCTACACAATCATGACTTGTATAGATGAAGCATGTTTTAATTTGAGGCCACAATATTACATTCAGACCACAGCTCCTGTCATATACATTCATCATGATGGAAAAGGATTTAAGTTCTTTTATGCACCCTGGATTATTATAATTTATGATGATAGATGATTAAATAAATTTATTTTTTCTTAGTTCTGTTTGATGCAGTAGTTGATGGAAAAAAGAAAATTACAGGTGAGAGTGTTGCCTCATTTGAAACTCATTTTCTTTGCTAAGGTTTGTTCAATGGTAAAAGATGTAAACAATAAGGAAAAACTTACCAGTCAGGCAGTTGGTCATCAAATCAATGATTCACTCAGTGACAGTAATAGTGGATAATCTGTCAGCTATCACAATGAGCTTGTGAGTCAGGCAGTCAATCTGTTAGTAATTTTGTGAACCAGTTATTCTGAGTCTGTCAGTCAGCCTGTCATTTCTTTTGTTGGTTGGTCAGTCAGTGTGTCAGTCAGTTAGTAAGTTAGTAAGGCAGTCAGTCAGTCAGTCAGTCTGTCAATAAAGACTGATAGTTTCTAACGAAACTGTACTGATAGTTTCTAAAGAAACTGTTTGGGGCTGCGTCGGTGGGGGTAACGAAATAATTTGAATATATCAACAAAGTTGAAATGGTAAATTGGCCACCATTACGATTATAAAAGCTGACGTTTCGAGCGTTAGCCCTTCGTCGAAGCAAATAGGGGAATTGTGGGTTGTGTGTGCTTTTAAAGGGAGAAAAAGGAGCTATGTGATTGGTGTCAGTCCATCTGTCAGAGTCTGTCAGGCAGTTCGTCAGTTAGTCCATCAGTCAGAGTCTGTCAGGCAGTCAGTAAGTTAGTCAGTTAGTCAGTCATACATGTAGTCAGTCTTCATTCAGTCGGGTAGTTAGTGAGTCAGTCCATCAGTCAGTCACACAATCAGTCAGTGAGTAAGTTAGTTAGTTGGTGAGTCAGTTATTCAGTCAGTCAGCCAGTCCCATCAGTCAGTCAGTCAGTCAGTCAGCCATTCAGCTAGTCAGCCATTCAGCCAGTCAATCAGCCAATCAATCAGCCAGTCAGCCAGTTAGTCAGTCAGTCAGCCAGTCCCATCAGTCAGTCAGCCAGTCAGCCATTCAGCCAGTCAATCAGCCAATTAATCAGCCAATCAATCAGGCAATCAGCCAGTCAGTCAGTCAGTCAGTCAGTTAGTTGGTTACTCAGTCAATCAGTCATTCTGTCAATGAGTCGGTTAGTCAGTCTGTCGTCATACTCTCCATCAGCCAGTCAGTTAGTAAGAAGTCATTCAGTAAGTTTGGCATTCAACCATTTTATGCTAGCTAGCCATCTTCATCAACTTTCTTAGGTTACTCATTCATATTTTCTTTGTGTTGCTGTTCTGTAGGTATCTGTCTGGCATGTGGTGATGATAAAGTTGGCACTGAACATCCATTATTTGAGGGAGGTCTGTGTAAAGAATGTAAGGTATGAAAAACTATTTGAATATTTGATATAACCTAATGCTATGAGTGCAAATTTATGTATATCATGTGTTAAAAGTGCCTATGAAAAGAATTTTTTTTCTCGGTTTTTCTTAGCTTGAGGCATATAAAAAACGATTTTAACCTTTCATCCGGCCGGAAATGTCATGAAACCCTTTTTTTTTTTAGTTCAAAACACGCGCTATTTGCGAACGAAATTGTCCCCTCTTCCGCGCGGCCAAAACGTCGCGTGATTTTCTTTCGTGACGTCAAGTTGTGTACAGCCATCGAAACCAACATGGATGACAGTGCGGCAAAAAGAGTGATTCTCTAATCTATCGAATTAGCAGAGTGACACTCGCTCAAATGAATGATTGACTCGCCTCTCACCTCCACACGTTCCGCAATTTGGTGTTTTGTGTACACAAAATTACGTCACGAAGGCCGTCGCAAGGGTTGAACTAGGTTCCAGACCCCGAGACAATTTTCACTATAAAATGGTACTTTTTAGAGCGCAAAAATTCAGGTTTGAAAACGTTTCCGCCGAATTGAATGTTAGAATCAATAAGAAAAACCGAGAAAAAAAATTCATGTCATAGGCACTTTAAGGATTCATGTTGATTTTAAAATGAGTCTGAATTGTGTATTTTAGACCTCTTTCCTGGAAAATTTATACCTCTATGATGAAGATGGTTCTCAGGTAAGCAATGTGACGTCTGATAGCTTGCTTTAATCTTTCTTCATTTTGTAATTACGTGGTTTTCACCCTTTTAAACTATATAAATAACCCCGAAGGTTGGATACACTGAACTGAAAAATATCAGACTCTTCGATCTGTCAAATTATTCTTAAACCCAGTTTTCCCTTTTTCTGTGGTTGAAAACACTTGAATGTAGTTGATGGCTAACTAAATGAAGGAAAACTACTGTTAGCAGCGAATTTTTGAAAGCTATGTGAGTGTTCTTTGGAGCAACAGAGGGCTACATGAAGGGTTGATGAACAGTCAATGAAACTGTAACTATGTGAAGTGGCTTGCAAAGAGACAATTCCACATCTTGTAGATAAATGCAATTCACTTAAATTCCGGCTTAACTGACGTAGGTTGAAACTTAAATAACAAACAGTTACAATAGTTACACAATATGCATAAAGAAATAACGAACATCACGACGGAAAGAGGACTATAAAACACTTACATTGTTATGGCCACAGAAAAGACCAAGGTAACTGACGTTTAACTGCATTAAATAAAAAAATAAAAATAAAATTGTGAATTTATATTGCGCGGTTTCCATGACGGGATGATCAACTGCGCATTACAACAATGCATGGAATAAATGGAATAAATACTAAAACATCATTACAACAATGCATGAAATAAATACTAATTACATCATTACAACAATGCTTTGTAATAGATACCAGTTACATCTTGTGTAGTATAAAATATTAAAAGCTGATCTAACTAAGAATAAAAAGCCTTACTAAAAAAATGCGTCTTTAAGAGTTTTTTAAAAGTGTCGAAAGATTTAGCCATTCTAATTTCCGAAGGTAAATCATTCAAGAGTTTCGGCGCCGAAGCAACGAAAGCACGGTCGCCTAGGGTTTTTAAAGTTTTAAAATTCGGGTAAGATAGCAGTATTCCGTAATTAGAACGCAGTCCCTATCTTGAATTTAAAGGCTTAATTTTGACAAGATCGTTGATATAGGACGGTGCGGATTTGCGAATGGCTTTGAAAGTTAAAAGTAGAACCTCAAAATTAATACGAAATGAGACAGGAAGCCAATACAGCTGACCAGAGTTAATAGAGGGAACTATTAACGGAGCACCGGTGTAATGTGGCAAACTTTGCCCTTCATAACAACAAGTCTGGCGGCTGCGTTTTGAACTCTCTGCAATTTGTCGATATGGCACTTGGACACACCGTATAATAGACTATTACAGTAGTCTATTCGGCTGCTAATAAAGGAGTGAATAAGAGTCGCAGCTGAGTCCATTGAAAGGTGTTTCCTTATACGTCTAATGAAATACAATGAAATATATGAAGTTCATATATTTTGTACTGCGGTATTAGATACATATGATGCACGATCCTCGCAGTAGATAGCGCTATTTAAGCAATAGCGAAAATCAGACCTGAAAAAAATCAGTCATGTTTTTCTCGTTGCCATGCACCCACCAATAACGTAGCTCCATTTTCTGCCTTTAAAAGCACACACAACCCACAATTCCTCTATTCGCTCCGACGAAGGGCTAACGCTCGAAACGTCAGCTTTTGTAATCATTACGGTGGCCAATTTACCAGTTCAACTTTGTTGATATATCCAAATTATTTCGTTACTCCCACCGACGCAGCCCCAAACAGTTTCTTTCGAAACTATCAGCCTTTACGCATATATATTAAAGCGGAGTAAGCAGGCGGAATCTGTTATTAGGTTTGTTTTATCGTCGATAAATGGATGCTCAGTAACATTGCTGAGCCGTTCGTGGTAGTGAGAGCCGTGAAAATAATGAAAATCAATGTTAGAGTTGAGTAAGACCAGCAGAAGGAGAAAGACACGTGTGAACCGCCATTGAATTTGCATACCATAACTTTGAAGCTTTGATTCCTGGCTGCACAAGTCTTAAAAAAACGCCGATTTGTTACCGAAGAACTGATTTCCAAAACTGCATGAACAACCGATCAACAACCGAAGCAACAGAATAGGAAATCAACCATGCGAACGACTAAAAATCCGTGTTTCCGCGGCAATACAGACATGGTATCCGGACAACTCGCCCCTTGGACAATTAGCCCCAGACAACTCGCCCCCGATCTTCAGACAACTAGCCCCCAATATGAAAACACCTATGTTACGTTGGAAAAATATATTTTTATGCTCATAAAGTAATAATTTCTGGAAAGAAGAAGAAAGTTTGTTTTTTAAAGTACGTTACGAGACCGAGACTTACGTTCGTAACGATCGATTGTAACGATCGCGTAAACACATGTACGGGACCATTTTGTAATCCAGCCATAACATTTGAAGTTACTGAAATGAAACAGATCTAACTTTTTGTTTTTTTTGTTTTGAAGCATTCTGTACTTTAAAAAACAAACTTTCCTTTTCTTTCACGAAATTATTACTTTAAGAGCATAAAAATATATTTGTTTAACGTAACATAACTGTTTCCCTATTGGGGGGCAGTTGTCTGAAGATCTGGGGCCAGTTGTCTGGGGCTAATATTGTCCAGGGGGCAAGTTGTCTGACATTCACAGACATTACTGAACTGAAACTTAAATAACAAACAGTTACACAATGTACATAAAGAAATAAGGAACAGCACGACGGAAAGAGGACTGTTACGCCGCAAAATGTAATAATCGCTGCAAAATGTAATAAAAAGTAAAGTAAAGTAAAAAAGTAAGTAATTTTATTTAATGTGGCACCACACTTAGCTTCAAGCTACTTTCTAGGAGGCTCACAATAAACAACAGAAACAAATAATTCAAATTGAACATAAATTGTTAAGAATCCCAATACTGACGCAAAATGTAATAACAATCACCGCTAAATGTAATAATTCACTCAATCCAAATGTAATAACTTTTCAACGCGAAATGTTATAACTTTTCTAACGCATTATGTAATGACACAAAATGTAATAGATCTTGAATGACTTGTATGCTCTGAACTTCGTTGTGTTTTTTTATCTGAGATTACGTGAATCAAATAAAAGATTTTCAGGTTGTCTGGTTAACTCTAAAGGCAGGATTCCCTCGCTTGTGAATTACTGTTGAAGTGTCTTTCAATTCGGTGACGATAAGGACTGACTCGCCTTCTCTTTCATGATGCAAATTTCATTCTGTTCATATCGTTTTCGTAATACTTAAACTGTTTAGGTGTGAGAATGTAGATTGTTACTGTTTACGACGCTATTTTGGTGGGTAGGCAAATTCCATTGAAAGCGAAGTGTTAAGTAATGGGCTAATTACCCTTGACCTCTTTTTCAAAACAAGGCCTGGTGCTCAACCATTCTTGTGAAAATGAGTTTAATTTGCATGTGAAGGAAAACTTATTATCATGTGAAAGGATGAGCACCAAGACTCGTTCTGAAAATGAGGCTAAGGGTAATTCGGAAATGGGCTATTGCCATAAGACTTTACTCCTGACAACTGCATCGGAAAGTACGTTCTACCGGCACGAAATCTTTCGTGGTATCGCTTTTTTAGTTTTTTTAAGTTCATTAATTTTGTTCTAGACTGTCAAGTCTGGGGGTACATATTTTGCAAAGGGTTGTTGGACAATCCGAATTCACGTCTAAGGAAACTCAATAAAATTTTCGAGCTTCCGTGAGCAAAAAACTTTCATGTGAATTTAACACGCCCAAACATTCAAGTGTTTCGACACAATCTGCCACATTTTATTGTCTAACCAATTTGCGTTTGGAGAGTCACCAAGTCAAGTTTTGGCAATTTCGCCGTGTGTTTCGGCACTTTAGTAAAACACAGATTTTTAAACACATCGACTGCTTTTTGTTTGTAACTAAAATTATGGTCACTCCACTTTTTTACGTGTTTCAAGGGTAGAAACACACAGGGGGGCTGTAAAAACTTGACGTGTTCACGTTCAAAATTTTAATTAAAAGGTTTGATCAAAAACGCAACGGTTTGTCACGATATGCCACAGGAGGCCCAAGCTCACTTTAAAAACCACACAAGGAACACAATTTGCATATCGATTTATAAGGATTTGTATGGGATTTTCTACAAGATATCCATGGAGATAGTTAAAAGTGAAAATATTAAATAAAAATTGCTTACCTTTTTCCATACCGGAGTGTTGTTTGCTTCTGGTGTCGTTATTTTACCGATTTAACTTGATTTAGGCGGGGTTTTTTTTAATCCTGGTTTAACCAATAAGTATAATTACAGAGTGAAAAGACTTAAATACCTGAACTTCAAACACGCAAAAAATTCAAAAAGAAAAAATGTCTCACTTAGAAGTTACAGTCAGAACATGGCTTTTTCAAAAATTTTCTGTGGTTAGTTTGCCCACCTATTTCAACTGCTAGTCAACAATCCACCTTCCTAACAATGTATAAGCACACCACTTTTAAAAGAACTAAACTATTAAATAACTGCGCTCATTAACCTTGTATTCTGGTGTTAGATGTATTGCACGATCTGTGGAGATGGAAAGGAAGTATTTATGTGTGATAGCACTGGCTGCTTCAGGTAAAAGTCTGAACTACTTGTGGACAGTATTCTTGAAGCATTTTTGGAATAATGAGAACAGGTTACATTATAGTTGGAAGCAAGGGAATCGCTTGGTTTTAGTTGGCTCTTTTTTATGTAGTCCCCTTGACTATGTGTCAATGAAAGACTGCCGGCTTCGGTGGATAACTCATACCAGTTTGGACTGAATTAAACCACTTAATAAAGTCAAACTAACTACAGGTGTACCTTGAAGACTCTTTTTCAGAGCTCATAACTTTCCATCCTTATCGAACTGATATAGTAATTAGCAATTAGGTTTTTCACAAATTAGACTTGAACTCTTTACTGACAAACAACTCATTATCTTATTGAAGAGCTACCCTTACTTGAATCAGTGGCGGATCCAGGGGGAGGGTCCAGGGGATCCGGACCTCCCCCCCCTATCAGACCTGACGCTTACAACTTTGAGACTGAAATGCTTACATCCGCAGGATCGTATATCACTTTTTAACTGGCTGATTTTTTAAATTAATGAATCCAAGTAAACAGTAAGCGGCCAAGGAATTAGAACGTGCAACCGCGACTGGTGGGAGGGGGTGTGGGGGAGAAGTAATTTGCCTCAAAAGAGTCCAACAGTCCTTTCTGAACCAAAGTTAAAAAATTCCTGGATCCGCCCCTGTGAATCATTAGCTCAAATGATTAATTGACTCAATTACCTTTTTCAGGTCATACTGCAGTCTCTGCATAGGCATGTTATGTGGAAGAAATGCAGTCAGAGAGGTAAATTAATGTAAGCACTGTAATTCGCGGCCGACTACCCCCGGGTCCCCATGGGTAATCTGTTCATTTGTCAATAAACAACTGCTGCTGCTGCGAGTAGTGCGTAGGCTTTCCATACGACAAAAAATTCCCACTTGCTTAACGACTATTACACTCTCTTTTATACATAAGAACTTTTCGTTTTAGCTTGCAACCACGTCCTCAGTATTAGCGCTGCAGAAAGAATAGATAGTGTGAAAAACGGTCCAAAAAATGTTTTAAAAATTAGGTTAAAAAGTTGTCCGAAGTTCCATTGGTGCTGTTGATACTCATGCTGATGAAGTTGGTGATAGTGCACCCGCTTGAGAGTTTGAAATAGACCAATCCATGAACTGTAACTACCAAAACGCAGCGCACTTTCCGTACGGAAATCGTAAAGTTCCCAGCATCGGAAACGACCTTGAAAGAGTGGATTGTCAACCAGAGAGAAAATAGCCGTGCATTTACTATCGTCATGCTTTGACGCAAGGCGAGAGAGTTAGCAGAGCAGATGAATGTTGCTGATTTTTTCGGTGGTCCTAGCAGGTACTGATAACAGATTCAAGCACCGAAAGCGTGCGAAAGAGCCTACGGTATCCATTGAGCTAACCGCCTCCCGGTTAGCTCAATGGATAGAGCGCTGTACTGTTGTGCGGGAGGTCGAGGGTTCGAGCCCT